AAGGAGGAGAGGGGAGGAGGAGAGGAGACGGAAGGAGGAACAATTGCTGCAACAAAGCGACAACATGGAGGAGGAGCACGAGCAAGAGGAGAAGCAGCATAGGGGAGACGGAGGGAGGAGGGAGGAGGGAGGAGGGAGGAGGGAGGAGGGAGGAGGGAGGAGGGAGGAGGGAGGAGAGAGGAGGGAGGAGGGAGGAGGGAGGAGTATGACCACACCTTTGGGTACAGATTTCCATCTTGGACGCAGTGTGGAGGGAAGTATTCGTCCCCTGGTGGAGGGTCAGGGAGGAGGAGGAGGGGATTTGAAGGACGCACATTCAGCTCTTGCGCTTTTCCCCGTCGCTCGCTGCTCCTGCCGCAACTCTTGCAGGGCCTCTCGCAGCAACGGGAGAGCGAGGTCGTTGACTCGGATCAGAGAGTCGACGAGGGCGGCAGGGCTGAGGGGAGGATGGAGGGGGAGGCCTGGCGGCACATCAGGCAAGTGCTGGAAGGAGAGGAGGAGCTCGAAGAGGAAGGAGTAGGAGGAGCTTCAGAGGAAGGAAGAGCTCTAAGGACGAAGAAGCTCTAGGGAGCAGAAGGAATTTCTCACCGCAGAGTTCAGAGAGGTGAAGGAGCTCGAGGGTGGGGAGGCCAGCGAGGAAAGCGACCTCCTCCTCCTGCAGGCCCGCGTCCACATGGATCAGGAGGAGGCAGGAAGAGACGATGGCAGAAAGGAGGAGGAGGCGGGTGAGCTGCATGTGTCTTGTGACTTCAGCTGAGCTGGAGGTGTAGGTGATAGCATGACATCAGCAGCGGCGACGCGTGAAGGTTCGCCATGGAAGCTGACAGATAATCGAGTCAGTGAGAAAACCAAGACCATGCCAGATATCCCTGCTCTCGCAAGATCAGCCTAGTCCCTCCTCTTCTTCCTTCACTCCCAGCCTCGCTCCTTTGCATCTTGCCACACCTGTGTTGGCCTGTCTGACGCTAGTGGTATCCTACCTCTCTTCCCTCTCCCTTCTCCCTTCTCCCTTCTCCCTTCTCCCTCCTCCCTCCTCCCTCTACTCTCTCCCTCCTCCATGTACTCTCTCCCCTCTCCCTGCTCCCTCTACTCTCTCCCTTCTCCCTCTACTCTGTCCCCTCTCCCTTCTCCCTCTACTCTCTCCCCTCTCCCTTCTCCCTTCTCCTCGCTCCTCCTCTCGCTCCAGGATCAGGTCTTGCCCAGGATCCTGTCCCATGTCACCGTCCCACTACCACCCACCCCACCCCTCTCCCTCCATTCTTCGTCGTGCTCATCATGGGTAGGGGTACCTCCTGCTCGCAATGCGACCGGCGGCAGGGGCGATGACGGCGATGACGCTCGTCGTGCTGGGGATGGCGGGAGGAGAGGGAGGAGGGCGGGAGGGAAGGGACACACTATGCGGGCGCCTGCTGCTAGCGGACAGCATGAGACCCTCCTCCCTCCCGCACGAGCAGCTGCAGAGTTGGGGTTGTCCATCAAATCCGATGGGACTTCAAACTATGGACGAATGCGGTCAAAGGAGCCTAGTGAGGCTTCGAGGGGGGAGGAAGGAGAGAGAAGGAAAGGATATAGAGTTTGTGACAGGAGACGGCAGGACGATCGACGTGAAGCAGGATGGGGTATCCCGCACCCACTGCTCCCCTCGCTGGCTCACGTTGCTATGTAGGAAGTGTCAGTTAGAGGGTCGCGCGATGGCAGAGACGCCAGGGCATGTGAGCATGAAGCTGCTCTTGTTAGCGGAAGAGCTCACTCCTCGGTGCGATGTCACAGCTGCAGGGACCAACTTTCCGAAGGAGAAGTCGGAGAGGAGAATACAAGTAACGTCGGCGCGGAACAGCTCGCATGCATGACTTGCTCGTTGTTCAGGGAGAGATTCGGAGGGAGAGGAACCGTTTGCTGTCAGAGAAGATGCTGCAAGAAGCCATCTCCACCGTTCCCGGTTGCGTTGCCCGTCAGTTGCTCCTGCTGCTGAACTCTGATGATACACAGCCAAGGACAAGTTCGTCTATGAAGATCCAAACTGGAAGATAAACCGAGTGAGGATGGAGTACGCAGTCCCGAGAGAGGTGAAACACGTTCCTTGACTCATCTCATCTCATTCCATCTCCGCTCCGCTTCTCTCTTCTCCCCTCCCCTCCTCTTCCCTCCTCGTTTGCTCATGTGTGGTACAGACCGTGGACGAGAAGTATGAAAGGGTGACGGCAAGTATGAGGAGGCAGACGAGGTAGTGGAAGAGCAGGAGCAGGAGCAGGAGCAGGAGGAAGAGGAAGAGGAAGAGAAGGAGGAAGGAGGATCATACACCTCTCCCTCCTTTCACACAGCCCAGCTGCTCTCCCTCCCTCCCTTCTTCCTTCATCCCCTGGAAAGATCTTCACCCTCTCCTCCTCTTCCTCCCTCTTCAATTCTCTTGTCATTCCTTCTTCCTCTTCCTCTTTTATTGACTATCTTCATTCCTTCTTCCTCTTTTATTGACTATCTTCATTCCTTCTTCCTCTGTTATTGAGTATCTTCATTCCTTCTTCCTCTGTTATTGATTATCTTCATTCCTTCTTCCTCTGTTATTGATTATCTTCATTCCTTCTTCCTCTGTTATTGATTATCTTCATTCCTTCTTCCTCTGTTATTGATTATCTTCTGTCAGGTCAAGAAGTACAAGGCGATTGCCACTGTGGAGAAAGACTTTCTCATAGTCAGTATCTCCTCCTCGTTCTACTCCTCCTCCTCCACCACGGAGGCAGAGGAGAAGGAGGAGCTGGGAGAGGGACAGAATCAGGAGGGAGGTGAAAGACGAAGATGGACTCAGAGTGGTTCGGCGCTCGATGCAGCATGACAGGAACAGGAAAGGGTATTTTGAGAGCGAACACATGATGTGCAGCAGCTAAGAGAGTAAACAAGGCAGGGGGTGACAGGTAGCCAGAGACAAACAGAGTCATGCATGAGCACTTCTTAGCGCTTCCGATACATTCCATACAATCTCATTGCTCATGCGCTCCACTGTTCTTAGTGAAGCCCAAAAATCTGAAACAGGAAGATATCGGG